AGGAAGGAAGGAAGGATTGATTCATTCTCTGGGCGTGACTGCTATGGCTTCAATTATTAGGCTAAAGGAAAAAATCCTCTCCAAGTATCTCAAAAGCATGAAGGATATTTTCTACATGATAGGAATCAAATGTTTCAATGAGGAAACTACATAAGGCGTGTGATTAGTGTTTGGTGATAGAATGGGCATGATTTCCTTTTATTAAGATTCTCTGCACAAGTGTCTTTCAAGCTGCAATTATGACACCTAGGGAAAAATTCACAAGGTGTGACTAAGGGATCATGCACTTAAAATCACATCACCCTTGGACATTCTTTTTAAAAAGTGTTGTTTTGTTTTAAAATTTTGTTAATGGTATAAAGCAAGGTGGTATTTTCACCAGCATCACAATCTTTGGGGGCAGATTTGGGAAAGGGAACTATCATTTATTAAGCTCCATACTGTGCAATTATATGATTAATCTCTTGTAAGCCTCACAGCAACACTATCAAAAAAGAGGGTCAGAACACGTAAATACTTTGTCCTCAGTTACATCAGAAACTCAAAAGGGTTGTTTAACTTCAAAAGCCATCTTCTTTTTCCTGCCTTGTGCAAGAATCTTTCCATTTAAAAAAGAAATTGCGAATACCTAAGTTGTATGTAATGTTTACACACTACATGGCAACAAGTTCCTCACACTCTTGTTTGGTCTCTCTGCCCCCTTGTCAGTTAAAGGGCAATGTTTACGGCCACTTCTTTTTTATAGGACTACTTCAGATCAGTTCAACACACACTTGTTGAGAACCTAGTGGTTGCCATGAACACAAAGGTAAATAATTCAAACCTTCTGCCCTCAAGGAGAGTGAGGAGTTCAGCAGATAATGAATGTGAAAGCATTTTGTAAACTGAAAAGAGCTTTAGAAATGCAAGGCGTTGTTGTTACTGTTATTAGTAACAGTAACAAGTATTATGTTAACATAAAGGACTTCTTATATCACATGTGATGTCTGCTTCTTCTCAAAACATCTCCACTGGGAGTGTAACAAAAGCCTAGAGCAATCCAATAAGAGACAGTCTTTAGTAATATTTTCGGTTTCAGTCCAATGATTTAATGACCCTTGTTATTAACTTTCAAGATAATTCTTTGCTATTAAGTCAGCAGGTGGGGGATCTGTAGTCTGCCGCAGCTAACTGGCCCTCCTGCGTCTCCCCTTCTGCCTTTGGACTAGCACAGGAACCAGCCTCCTAGTGGAGAAAAGGAGAAGCCTTTTCTCTGCTCCAGAAGTCCGAGTCTTTCTCCATCCCTACCCACCCTCTCAAATTCACGACCCCGGGAAGAGTTGATAACTGTACATTCTGAGGCATGTTTTACTCGTATGATTGAAAAATCACAGATGCTTCAAAAATAATCCTTATGGTTCCTTTTAGAAGCAGTATGTTTGAAGCAAATAGCTTTGGAAAGCTCATGTGCAGCTTTTGGAAATATGTTTGGTGTTAACACTTTATAATGAATAAGCGTATACAAAAGAATATGAGAGAATCCAGGAAATTTACTTTCCTGACTACAAACAAAATCATGTCTCTTTCTCTTGTAGGACAACCCATTTTTTGATCTGCACTTCAAGAAAGTGTACAGATTGGAAGCATATAGTTGTGCTTCTAAATATGCCTTTGCTCGAACTGTAAATAAGCTGAACCATGCGTACCTTAAGAAGGACTTACAGATCGTGAACTTTGACTCTACTTACATTGATGACGATTCCTTTTGGTCCTCCAACAACAAGGATTGCTTGGTTCTTATGAGAATATGCTTTTATGCCTTCAATCTGCTGTGTCTGTCCCTGTGCCCCCTGCCACTCTGAAGATGCATACCATTTTCTTTCATCAGTATTCTATGAAAATGGCTAAGTAAATATTGGTAGATTTTTCCCCCCTTCATCAGTGACTGTTCTTTATATGAAAATAAAGTGATGCTTTGTGAATTGCAGTGAAATGTGTTTTAACGCAATCATTCAACATTTGGGATTTTGCCTAGGTGTTCCTTGGTAACTTTGGAAGGAATCGGATGGTTTTGCCTAAATTAGTATTTTACTAAAGAGTATCAAGAAGTATCTTAAAAGGCTTAAATGTATGAAAAGACATCCTGTATTCATAGATAGGAAGACTTTATATCGTCAGGATGTCAGTGCTACACAAAACCACCCACAGATTCATTGCAACCCCTATCAAAATTCCAATGATTTTTTTTGTGTGGCACAAATGGAATAGCTAATCCTCAATTTCATATGTTAGGGCCCCAATGGCCAAACAATCTTGAAAAATCTCCAATTTTTAAACTTACTGAAAAGCTACAATAATCAAAACAGTGTGGTACTGGCATAAGGATAGACATATAGGCCAATGGGATAGAATTGAGAGTTCAGAAATAAATCCATCACCTATGGTCAACTGATTTTTTGACGAGGGGGAAGGAATAATCCATTCCACAATGGTTCTAGTACAACTAGATATCCACGCACAAAAGAATGAAACTGGACCCTTATCTTACACCATACACAAAAATAAACTAAAAGACTTTAATATAAGATCAGAAACTATAAAACTCCTAGAAGATTTCACCTGCAGCAATTATTACTTTGATGTTTTTAATGGTGATTTTCTATTACCCTCATTATTTCCACTTTTATCATTTGAAAAAACATCATATATCTGAAAAAGGGGCTAATATCCAAAATATATAAAGAACTTGTGCAACTCAGTAGCAGAAAACCAAACAATCCTACTTAAAAATGGGCAAAATAGCTGAAGACAAAGAAGACATACAGGTAGCCAACAGGTACATGAAAAGATGCTCAACATCATTAATCATCAGGAAAATGCAAATCAAAACCACAATGAGCTATTACCTCACACCTGTTAAAATGGCTGTTACCAAAAAGACAAGAGATAACAATTGTTGGAAACAGTATGGAGAAAAGGGGACCCTTGTGCACTGCTGGTAGGAATGTAAATTGGTGCAGCCAATATGGAAAACATGGAGGTTCCTCAAAAACTTAAATATAGAACTACCATATGATCCAGCAATTCTACGTCTCAGCATTTTTCTGAAGAAAATAAAAACACTATGCATCCCCACGTCTACTGCAGCGTTATTTATAATAGTAAAGACAGGGAAACAACCTAAGTGTCCATCAATGGAAAAATGGATAATGAAATTACATTATATATAACATTCCATTACATATATGCAACTCAATAGCAGAAAAACAAATGATACAATTACATATATATATATACACATATATATAATGAAATATTATTCAGCCATAAAAAAGAATGAAATCTTTTCATCTGAAACAACATGAATGGAACTTGAAGGCATTATTCTAAGTGAAATAAGTCAGATAGAGAAAGATAAATATGATCTCTTATGTGTGGAATTAAAAAAAAACAAACCCAAAAAACAAAAACAAGCTCACAGAAACAGAGAACAGATTGGTGGTTACCAGAGGGGAAAGGAGATAAAAATAAAAAAATAATAAAATGAGATCAGTTTTCTGAGCCTGGCAAAGGGAAGGGAAACAAGAAAAATGTTTAAGGTGTGTATATTTTATATGATTTCCTGCCTTAATTGACTTTTTCAATTATATAGCCAGAGACTCAGCCTAGATAAGAGTATTTCTCCTGTACCTACCTCAAAAGGATATGGAGAGAATTAAATAGTAAGGCCAGGGCTAATGCTAGGCACATAGTAAGTCCTGTCTAGAGCATATTAACAGTGAGAAAGGCAATAGCAGCTCCAAGAGAGTGACCTCAATAAGCACACAATAAATGTTTAGTTCTTAAAGTTACTAAGTGTAATAGCAGTTTGATTCTATCATTAAACTAGTGGGACATCCATCAAGTCATTTTTAAAAAAGAGTGTCAACATCATGAAAGATAAAGAAAGACTGAGTGTATTAGTTTGCTAGGGCTGCCAATCAAGTACCATAAACTGAGAGGCTTAAACAACAGAAACTGATGGTCTCACGGTTCAGGAGGCTAGAAGTCCCGGATCAAGCTGTCAGCAATATTGGTTCTGTGAGCGCTGAGAGGGAAGAATCTGTTCCAGGCATCTCTCCTTGGCTTGGAGATGGCCATCGTCTCCTGGTATCTTCACATCGCCTCCCCTCTGCGTATGTATCTGTGTCCACATTTCCTGTTTTTATGAGGACAGCGGTTGTATTGAAGTAGAGCCCACTTTACTAACCTTATTTTCACTTGATTACCTCTATAAAGACCCTAACTCCAAATAGTCACACTCTGAAACAGTTGTGGTTAGGTCTTCCACACATGAATTTTGGGGATCACAATTCAACCCATAACACTGAGGGACAAGCTGGAAGGGGCTGAAGGAGACAAGACAACTAAACTCAATGTGGGATCCTGGACTGGATCCTGAAACAGAAAAAAAATATTCGTCCCCAAACTGGAAAAATCTGAGTAAAATCTAGAATTTAGTTAATGATATTATACTAAGGTTAATTTTTTGGCTTTAATCATTGTAGCATGGTTATGTAAGATGTAAGCTTTGGGGGAAGCTAGGCGAGGAGTAGCTATGTAGTAGTGAAAAGATGAAGGTTATCCTATACACACAACATCAAAACGTGGGAAGACGAGTTAGCTGCATCTCACTCCCTGAAAGCAAGTTAATGATTTAGTTATCTAGTTGTGTTGAAAATGAAAATGCCCTCCGCCTGGCCGGTGTGGCTCAGGGGTTGAGCATTGACCTAGGATCCAGGAGATCTGGGTTCAATTCCCGGTCAGGGCACATCCCCCAGGTTGTGGGCTCGATCCCCAGAGGGAGGCGTGCAGGAGGCAGCCGATCAATGACTCTCTCATCATTGATGTTTCCCTCTCTCTCTCCCTCTCCCTTCCCCTTCCTCTCTCTGAAATCAATAAAAATACACTTAAAAAAAGAAAAAAAGAAATGCCCTCTCTTTGAGCACAAGCAAAAGCACCTTTTTGTCAAAGCAGATAGTTCAAATGATAGTAGGCTAAAAAAATCTCATAAAGCTTATGCCAAGTCTTGCATTGCCCTCTCCAACTAATAAAAACCTATCCATCTAGCTCATGTGTTGAAGGTAAAAAGTTCAGATTGTGGTTAACAAAAGTGACCACTTCCTATGCTGAAGCGGTGTTTTCATAGAGAGAGTAAAGACAGTATCTTACTCACCTGTGAATTATATACAGGAGGCATACAAGATATGTGTATTTATTTTCTTGACATGTAATTCTTATAAAGGAAATCTGACTTTTTAGGTACTTACGGAAAACCAGGTCACATTTGCCTTAATTTATGTTTTTTCTTTTTCCCTTTGCCTTCTGTGTTCTTCCCCTTTTTAAATTTTATTCCTCTGCAAGCCAAAATGTCTTTCTTTCTCTATATTCTTTCCATATATTTTTTTTTCTTTTTAAAAAAATATGTTTTTATTGATTTTTAGAGAGAGAGGAAAGGAGAAGAGAAAAACATCGATGAGAGAGAGACATGGATTGGCTGCCTCCGTTCGGCACATCCCCCACTGGGGACAGAGCCCAAAACCCAGGCACGTGCCCTGACCAATTGAACCGGCACCCTCCTGGTGAATGGGTTGACACTCAACCACTGAGCCACACCGGATGGGCTATATTTTCTTCTTCTTCTTCTTTTTTTTTTTTAATATTTTTTTTTATTGATTTGAGAGACGAAGATGAGAAGGAGAGAGAGAGAGAAACATCAATGATGGGAGAGTCATTGGTTGGCTGCCTCCTGCTCGCCCCCTACTGGGGATCAAGCCCACAACCCGGGCATGTGCCCTGACCAGGAATCGAACCTCGATCTCCTGGATCATAGGTTGATTCTCAACCACTGAGCCACGCCGGCCAGGCTCTCTTTTTCTTTTACTCCTCTTTTACCTTAGCTACTGCAAGCAGTTTGAAATTCCTAAGGCCTAGTTGCTAAAACTGTCAGAGTCACCCATACAGGCATTCAGGTTGTACACCACACCCGAGGACCACCTCTAAAAGAGAATCATTTCTTCATAGATGATGATTTACAGGTGAAACTTATAAGTGCAGGCCACCCAGCTGATTTCTGGGACGGTGGGGGCAGCTTCCTCCCTCACAACCCTCATCAGCACTCATGGAAAATACTTGTGAACATTCTCACTCTAGCATTGTCCACACTCCCTCTTAACAACATCCTGAGCATGTCTTTACGTCAGCTGTTTTCACAATAATGCCATATAACAAACAACTGTAAGTCTGAGTGCTTTCAAAGCAGGCATTAAGCTCTCGCTCGTGCATGTTTAGGTTTACTAGAATACGGCTGCGCTAGGCTGGGACTGGCTGGGCTGGATTCTAAGCTTCAGGTTGAGTTCGAGTCTGTTTCACAGATCTCTTCCTCCTGAGACCAACAACTATCAGAACGATTTCTTCTCATGGCCAAAGACAGGGAAGGAAGCAAAGGGCAAGCCCAATTTTGCAAGCACATTTCAAACTTCTGCTCACATCATGTCCACTAGCAACCCATTGGTCAAAGCAAGTCACTAGGCCAAGCCCGAGGTCAAAGGGCAGGGAGATATTCTCTATGTCACGAGGTCATGTCAAGAATGTACAATAGGAATATAGAGGAGCAAGAGGGGCCAATAACTCGTCCTAACAAACTCCTCGTGTTGCTTCTCTTGCTCACCTGCTACTCTCAGAAGCCCAAGCCCTCCTGACTTGTCTTCTCTAGATGGGGGTTGGGAGGGTGGCTGGTAGCAAGGAAAGCATTCTGCATGCCTGGGCTCTGGAAATCTCCCTTAGGGGGAGTTATTCAGGTTGTGCAGTAATATGCTACCTAAAATTTTATTTATTTTACTTAAAAAAAATTAAAAGGCATGCTTCATTCAAACTCATACCAAGGCATTACATGGGCAAGGAAGTGGTAGCCCACTGGGTGGATATGCCCAATGTCA